ACTTGCACTGAGGCGGCTGTGGCCCACTTGCAGTGCTGCGTCCTAACCTGTTGAGCCACGAGGGAGGGCCTCCACTAAAAGAATTTTAAAAGAATAAATGACAGGCTAATGGGCGCATGGAATGGAATTATTTTTAAAAATCCAAAACTAGGAAATGAAAGAAGAAAAAAGGGACAAAAAGAAAAAATAGAAAACAATAAGATGGTAGATTTAATCCATTTGTATTAAATGTAAATGACCTAAAAACACACCAGGAGCCAAGTATATGCTGTGCATAAGAAAGACACTTTTAATACTAGGACATAGACAAGTGAAAAGTCATTCTTCTTATTACCTGATTAATTAAAAAACATTTCCTAATACTTATTTTATACAATCTTTATGATCCAAGAGTCTTTAGTCTTGGTTACTTTTTTGGATGCAAACTGTAGCAAAGAAGACATTTAAAATTCTATTCTATGTTAAGTAATTGTTTTTTGTTTTGTTTTTTTCTGTTATGAGATTGATATTACATAACTTCCTTGAACTTTCCTTTTGTATCACACGGTGTTTGACAAGTGTAAAAGTTCCTTTGTATCCTTTCTAACCTTTTTAAAGTGGTTCAAGACTCCCTGTTGGCACAGTTATCTTTTTAGGGGTTTCTTTTGTAATTTCATATTACCTTCAGTTTACATTTACTTTTTTCTGTTTCAGTTTCTAAAATGTTCTGGGTGGATGTTATTTTTCTGTAAAAGGATGACCAGGAATATTTTTATGGCTCTCAATCTCTGGGGAAGCAGGTAATTTTGTTGTTTATAAAACTGACTTGCTGTGCTTTAAAATATGGAGAGGAATGCCAGAGTCTAACAATGTTACGTTACAGAATAAGACTCTTAGCATTTTGTCTTGAAACCCTGAAATAGGCACAAATAAAGAGCCCCATGATTTTTCCACAGATTCTTTCTAACCTCTTGAACAGCATTGACAAATGGTAGTTAAACTGACACTTAAATGACAGTGTGAAATAATTTTTAACTAGCTAATCACTTAAATGAGATATTCCTCTAACATTCAAGTAGAGAGCAGGGATTACCAACCTAGTCTCCTTCAGGAAGATCTTAATTCTTGGTATTACTGACCCATTGCTACCTCAACAATGTTTTTTTGCTCTGATTTTGGATTGTGTTTGATCAACTGTCCTTTTTCTCTCCCCCCCTCCTTTTTTTCCCTTTTCTTGTGTAAACATAAAGTATTTATCATTCTGACTAGCTTTACTATGCATAATCCTTTGAACTTCCTCCATTTTGCTGTAAATGGTAACTTTTTGTCTTTCCCTGTGGATGAATATTATTCCACTTTGTGGATGTTACCACTCCTAAGTCAGTCTTCTATCACTGGGCACTTAGCTTGTTTTCATATCCTAGTTACTGTAAATAATGGTGCAACAAACATTCTTTTCTGTCTTTGAATTTATTGTGACCTTTGAAATTCCTGTCAGAGTTTTAATCTTGCTTTTCTTTGTGGTTGGATTCTGGAGGGTTCTCTCTTTGTGATGTCATATTCCCATGTATTTTCTTGCCCACCCATTTTGCTACTTTAATTTCCCTATTTAAAAAAAATATGTAGTAGTAACTTAGAGTTGAATTACTTTTCCTTTTCCTATAAAAGACCCTCTGGTTTTATTTTATTGGTCTTTGCTGGCTTGTATATCTATTGACACTTAATTTTTCTTTGCTGAGTCAGTCTGGTACAGGAGAGATCTGGAGGGGTTCAGTCACTGTTCTGTTCTGCTGCCACATATTTGGACCAATGCCTATTCCTCTGGGGTCTAGATCTGAGACTTGGCAGTCTGTGTTCTCCATGCACTTCATAGTGTCAGTCCACGCCTGGGGGCTGTGGGAAAGTGAGTGCAGTCTAGAGTGCCCTAGCTATTCTTTTCTCACAGGACACCCACCTGTATGGGCACCTGCACCCCTTTTAGTGTGTGCACCTCCACACAGTTTCCACTTCCCCTTCAGCCTTCACCAGGCAGCCCTGTGCTCTGAGTAACCACCCCCCACACATAGACACACACCCCTCTAGTCTTCAGGCATTTCTCTCTATTCTCTCTACCCATCCTTACCCCTAGTTGCAGGACTCTCAAGTGTAGAGGAAGGGTATCAACAGTGACCTTCTGGCTGACTATTAGATATTCTTTTTGGTAGTGAAGCAAGCAAGCTCCTTTATCACCATCCTGGTGGCCAGCCCAGATGAGTGAGCTATTTAGTTTTAGATGGTTACAACAATCTAAAGTAAAACAATCTACATCAAGTAAAACAAGCAAGGAAAGATGTTGAAGCCAGATTTTAATTTGTACTTAAGTGGTAAAAGCCTAGTAATAATAAATCTAAAATCAATGGAGTGTCAACTGCATCATTATTGCCTAGCCTTGGTGACAGGAAAGTAAGGAGACTTGAGATGGTGGCATTATTATTAGCATCTTTTCCCCTGGATTCATATTTTTGTTTTTAGGTCACTAAGGCAGCTGAGTAATGTAAGGAAGTTGGATAGGGAATTTCCTGGAGCAGCTGGCACAGTAGCTTTTTTTATACCTTGTCTAGCAGCTAATGAGTAGTGCTGTTAGCACCTGAGGAACTGAGTCAATTCCTTGTGTGACTGACTGCTCAACCCTGCTTTTTCTGGCTCCATCACTCTTGAGGCTGAGGTGTGAGCTCATTCACTGGAGGCCATTCTTTGAGCACAGGAGCTTGGGTCACGACTGATTGGTTCTCCCGCCAGATCAAAGCTCCACCGGTAGAGGAGGCTACACTGCCTACTTGAAGACTTGGGTCCTGTGAGATATTGGGCAGTGGCCGCTGACTTAGTCTAGAAGTTTTGTTTTTGAAACTTTAGACTGCAGGCTAGCACTGTCTGAGGTGCTTGTTACAAATGTAAGTTCCCAATTCTATACCTTTTTACTGTGATTCGGGGTGACTAATACAGTGATTCTGATGCTGAGTAAGGTTTGGAAAGTAATGACTTGGAAAATCTTCTCATGATATATGTACTATATATATATATATATATATGTACTATAGAGAGACTATCTCATTGCAAGGACTTTATTTTCCTTATTTTACAAATTCATCTATTTATTGAACACCTATTTTAATAAATAGAATATTAATCTAGGAAGTGAAGCTGTAACAGTGAACAAGATTGACATGGTCTTTGCCCTTATGAAATGGAGGGAAACAATAGGTCACAACAGGATATATGGTAGAGTATAATGGAGGGAGGGGTAGTGTGCATTTAAAATGAAATGATGGAATTGGAAAAGGCAGCATGCCACTTAACACTTGGATGCAAGGAAACAAACATGAAAAACAACATAAAGCCTTATGCAAAAGGTGACCATAAATCTGAGGCATACAGCAGGGGAGAGGGAGGGAGAAGGTCAAAATGGGGAGGAGGAGCCATGGGACTGTGGTGATGAAGCCATGGTGCTATGGTGGTGAGAGAACTATGTGGACTAAACCTGAGGGAGAAATCAAATACTGTCCAAAAATGAACAACAGTGTAAACAAACAAACAAACAAACAAACAAACAAACAAAATTAAAGATTCTTGCAAAGGCGCTGAGACAGGGTCAATCTTTCAAGCATAGATAAAAGACCAGGCTGACAGATACCAGACCAGCAAGCCAGGGTCTGGAAGGAACAGACCCTGAGGATCATGGGGAGGTGGCATATCTAGAGAGGGGGTGGGGAATCCGATGTTTAGTTGGTAATTGGAATCAGGAGTTGAAAGGAGAAACTCGTTTGGAACATGGGTGTGAGAGTGATCAGTGTTTCCAAGGAAAGCCACTAAATGGATAATCTTAATGTAAGGAAAGACTGTGGAGAGAAATTCGTGGAGGGCTTGCAAGCCTAGGAACAGCAACAGGTGGGAGAGTTGGAGGGGACAGGGAAACCAGCAAACTGTAGGCTTTGGGAAGCCACAAGAAGCAACTAATCAAAGAGGACCAGTCCATGTATCATTGCTGCTGAAAAATCTAGAATTGTACAATCCGGTACAGTAGCCACTAGCTACAGTGACTACAGAACAGTTGAAATGTGACTACTGAAAATCAAAATAAAATATATAAGATAAAATATATTCTATGTACACCTGAAATCAATACAATTTTATGCACCATCATCTCTCTATTGAAAATAAACACTAGGGGTCCTTCCTGGTGGCACAGCGGGTTAGGACGCAATACTGCAAGCTAGCCGCAGCTGCTTCAGTGCGAGTTCGATCCAGAAGGTGATCCACATGGTGCAGCAGACCTCTCCTGTCTCACCCACTGCTCCCTTCAGCAGTGTACTTCGTTGGTCTGCCTGTTCTGCTCCCTACTCTGTGAATCCCTGCACCTCTGGCCTGTACCCCAGTTCTGTATGCATAAATAAATAAATCTTGAAACAAAAGCCCACACTAGATTTTAAAAATAGAAATGAAATATATTTCATAAATACTTCTAAAGTGATGATTACATGTTGAAATTACTGTATTTGGGGTATACCACATTAAATAAAAAAAGTATTAAAATTTCCCTTGCTTTGAACTTTATAAAAATATGGGTACTAGAAAGTTTTTAATCTGTGGTTCACGTCATTTCTGTTGCAGAATTTGGCAACTGGAGGTCAATTTTGCAAACTTGTTAACAAGTTTCCTGCTTGAGATTAAGTAATAACTAGCAAATTGTTTGTACTCAGATGAGGCTAAATCAACATCATAATTTTGTTATGCTTAAAATTAAATAACAAAATTCACCACTAAAAACTTCTCCAGACTTTTTGATATTTATTTGACTTAATTTCGTGCAAATTGATAGCATATATAACCATGTCAAGTAAATCTTTGAAATCAGCTTTCAAGTGTGGTTTTGACATATTTTAACATGTACTTTCCATCTGTTTTTGTTTGTTTGTTTGTCTTTTGGTTTGTGTGTGTGTTCTTTATTTTTATTTCAAATTTTAATTTTTTTCATATCTGGCCAGGAAACTTCATGGTGTTATGGTCAACTTGCCGCACAACAGCTTTCAAATCTGTCACTAACAGGTTCATTAAAAACCTGGCCTGCTCAGGTATTTGTGCCAGCTTGGTCTGCGTGCCCTTCGACATCATCCTCAGCACCAGTCCTCATTGTTGCTGGTGGATCTACACCATGCTCTTCTGCAAGGTTGTCAAATTTTTGCACAAAGTCTTCTGCTCTGTGACGATCCTCAGTTTTCCTGCCATTGCCTTGGACAGGTAAGATCAGTTAGCAGAGACCTTTGTATTTTTCAAAAAAGCATGTTGAAAAATTAGCAAATGGTCAACAATGTCCCAACACATTGCCTTTTAGTTTGCTTGTGGTCAGCAGAAAGAAAATGAATGTCTAGAACAAATGGATTGCAAGACAGCTTGATCTAATAGCTGTGGAAACAGGGCCATTGGAAAAGATGTGACATTGACGGGTTTACATCCTGTGGATGCTGGAGGAGAGCTACTAGATCATGTGAAGCTCCAGTTTGGTTGGAATCAATGATATTTGCTTTGAAACTTGTAGCTTGTTCAGTGTAGATAACTACAACTAAGGCTTTTTGATAGAGTGTGGAAACATTTCTGGAAGAACAGGGTACAATTCAGTGATTATTTAACAAGTGATTATATAGACCAGTTAGGCCTGATCAGATAATACCATAATCCCTTTGGAGGACTTATTTCCAACGTTTTGATTATGATGACTGTTGTTTTCTCTTTCCATCCTCTTTAAAAAGGATGTTCATTTGGAAATAAATCTTATAGCTCAGCTGCTGTCATCATATATAATTTGATCAAATCTATCAAAATATAGAAGTTTTCATTATTCAACAGCTTCCTGCCTTTCCTTTTTGCTGCTAGCATTTCATAATTGCAATGGATATAATAATACATTTATCTTATGAGAAATAAGTTACTTATGTGGAAAATGAAGAAACAAAGCAAGCAAGCAAACAAAACAAACTCTTAGACTATAAGACAAAATGGTGGTTACCCGTGAGGAATGGAAGGGGCATGGGTAAGTTGGCTGAAGGGCATCAATTGTATGGTGGTGCTTAGAAACTAGACTTTTGGTGGTGACAATAATGTGGTCTAAACAGATGCTGACTTACACCTGAACCATGTTATAACCAAGATTACTTCAATAAAAATTAAATTAAAAAATACATTTTAGAAACCAGAATTAAATAAGCAAGCAAGGATTTTGTGCCCATGAGTACTTTTGATTTCAAGATTTACAGAAAGGAAAAGTTGCTCAGGGAATGTTCTGTCTATTCTGACTTTGTACTCTTAATAAAATTTTACTATATTTTTGAAAAATGGAAGTTTTAAACTCTGTCCATTCAAGACATGAAGTCATGGATTGCAGAACCCATCTGTGAAACCACTTCAACCTCTCAGGCCTAGAAAATAGATTTCATAAGCAGTATAATGTCACTTGTGTAGGGATTATTTGCCTAGAGAGCATACATAGCCCCAGCACAGTAGTAGAAATTGTTGATATTGTGGTTAGGAGAGGGGACTCTGGACCAGAAGACTGACTTTAAGTCCTACCTATACTACTTTTTCATTGGGTAGCTTTGGCCAAAGTGACTTAACCATTCTGAGCCTCAGATTCCTCAATGAGGAGAATTAAATGAATCATTTGAATTGTGCTTGGGTAGGCCACACCAAAGTTTCTCTCTCTCTAGGCTTCCCTTCAGATTGGCACATTCTTCTTTAAATATATTGTCTGTAGTCATTTCACCCAGATCTTGCCAGGAGTCACTCCAGCTCTTTGAAAATTTCTTACTAGAAACTCACTATCCACAAGAGCAGATGACACAGTCAAGTGACACTGGCCAGGTTGGGTTCATGCCTGATCATAGGGGTCAGTTACTCAGCAGTTACAGTTAATAGTTGTTTTGTGTGTATTTTAGACAGGACTTTATTTTCTTGAAAGAGGAATATAGAATTTGGTCATTTTTCAATGCTGACAATAAATTTTCATTCAAAATTTTATGTGGGACAATCAATCTGTTCAGCAAACTGAATGTGTACTATGCCATGCCAGTTTGCTAAACCTGTGTTATAGTGACATTGTGTCTCTTCTGTGCTCAACCAGAGATCTTTGAATATCTGGAAAGTGACTTGGCACAGCACTAGACTTTAACAGTGAGAAATTAGAGAAGTCACACTCTATCCCGTGGGTAACATTCTGTGTTCACAGCAGAAGTCCTCCACCTGCTCTTTGTACTATCTGCTCCATGAGGCCTTAAGTCTTTGGCCCACATTGTGGACTTTTCTCTCTGGGAAGTATTTTTTGTTTTTAATAATTTTATTGAGGTATAGTTTACATATCATAAAAATTCACCCAATTCAATTGGCAGTCAGTGTATTTGTAGAGTTGTGCAGCCATCACTGCTGTCAAACTTTCAAACATTTCCATCATGCTGAAAAGAAACCTTGTGCTCATTTGCAGTCACTTCTCATTTCTACTCCCAAACATAGGCATCTACTCACCTGCTCTCTGTCTCTATGCTTTCATTTGAATATTTCCTGTCCATGAATCATACAGCATGTTTTCTTTTAGCTTGATTACTTTCACTCAGCAGAATATTTTCAAGGTTCATCCATGTTGGGGCATGTATCAGTATTCATTCACTTTTATTGCTAAATTATATTCCATTGTATGGTTATGTCACATTTTACTTAGTTTTTTATCAGTTGATGGTCATTTGCATTGTTTCCACAGTGTGTGTTTGTTTTGCTGTTGTGAATAATATTGCTATGAATCTTGTAAGGTTTTTAAGAATGGAATTGAACAAAAGTTGGAACACATTATTCTGAACAATTTGCTGTTGTACCTAGAAGCACTGCAATAATCCCTGGGGTTATTTTTGGATTCGTGGTCTTAGGCAAGAAAATGTGTGAAAACAAGAAATCCTTATTTTCTTTACAGCAGCATATCTATTATATTTTTGTCATTATTAAAAATCAGTCCAAAAGTCCTGTTAGTGGAAAAACAAGGTTGCTAAATTCCTATTTTATTATTCAGAGATATACAAGTGTGTGATGTGCCTTAAGACGAAGAGAAGTCAATCTTTTCAAAGAGTTGTTTCATGGCACCAAGACAGCAAGTTAATTGGGAGGCCACCTACACTCCCTGCATCATTTGCTAGATGTACACTAACCAAATTATTTATAATGAGTTGTGTATTTATATTGCAGTCTATTTCCCAGAAATGACTAGAAGCCTAGGCTTTTTACTGAACAGTAGGCAAACTGGAACTGGAAGCCCTGGACTCTTGGGCATGTGTTCACATGTGGGTGTGGGGCTATCACATTGAATCTATAGAGTTGTGATTAGAAAAGTTGAACTGTAGTCAGAGAAAAAAAAAAATACTAGCCTGTGTAACTTACGCATTTCTTTCTCTTTTCTTCCCTTCCCAGTGAGAGATCTACAACACATTTCATCGTGCTCCCTCCATCTCTGATCAGCCCTGGTCATGTTGTGTTTGCATCTGCATCGTATCTTCCACTGCCTGTCCCCCGCCAGACTCTACCACAGTGCTACCTTCCTTGACGTTTTCCCAGGTGCTCCCTTCCTGTAACCGCTTTGTGTGTAACTCCAGTAAAGCCATCATCTCCTGCTTCCTCACTGCTTGTTTGCATGTTTCTTTTCCTGCTGAGTTGGGAAACGTTCAAAAGTGTTTTCTCACTTTTGTTTCCTTTTTCATCTTTGTAACTGGTCCCTGGCTTGGTCCTTGGCTGATCTTGTAATTTGAAAGACATAAATATTTTGGTCACCTGGGTGACCAAAAAATATATTTCTTCTACATATTTGATCTTTAATTTCTGGCTCACAGTCTAATCAAAACCTTGAAATTTACTAGGTGTTGAGAATATTAAAGTGTTCTTTATTTTCACAGCTAACATTTGGAAAATACCTGAGGATGGGGGCTGCTTGGCAGGGAAAGCAACATGAATAGAGGGCATCCTGCCCCTGGCTTGCCATCTAGAGGTTGAGTGTGATCTCCAGGGAACAATGATTTAATCACTGTGCCTATGTAATGAAGCCTTTACAGAATCCCCAAAGGGAGTGCTTCAGGAGCTTCCAGCTTGAGGAAATGGAGCATTTACATGTGCTACCCCGCCAGACCCCAAATTACAAAAGGATGGAAGCTCTTTTGTTTAGGATCTTGTAGGTTTCTCTTCACCTGGCTGTGGATTTGTATATTTTGTAATACATTGGTGATCTAGTAAGTAAATGGATTTCCTGAGTGCTTGCCATTCCAGCAAATTAATGGAACCCAAGAGGGGTGGGTTGTGGGAATCTCAGATTTATAGCTAGTCAGTCAGAAGCACAGTTTAAACCTGCACTTGCAACTGACACCTGAAATCTGAGGAGGGGTTGCAGAAACTTTCAATCTGTAAGCAGATTGTTAACTGGATTTGTGGCCTGCAGCTGAAGAGGAGGGCAATTTTGGAAAACTGAGCCCTTATTCTGTGGAATCTGATGCTACCCCCAGGTGGTGTAAGAACTAGGTTGAAAAGAGTTGACTTTTCAGACACTCTGGTGTCCAAGAACTACTTGCTGATGTGGGGAAACCTTTGCACACACAGTGGAATTGGGTCTGGGTACCCTACATATTAATATATGTAGGGTGCTCAGAAATCCTCATGGCAGTAAGGCATGCTTGCTACCTGGTTCTTGAGTGGGTGGATGACAATTGGGCTGTAAGGTCAATTGTAGCAGTTGCTGACTGTCAAGTCATAGGCATAGCTTATGTGAAGAAATTCACCATATCTCCAGTGGCTACTGGCAACTCTTTTGTGACAGGTGTGATTCTGAAATCTGAAGAATTACTCAGTTTCTCTAAATCATTGATGATCTTAAAACAAGGTGCTTCTGGAATTCTGATCAGGTGGTTACAGAATCAAGTTGAAGCTTGAAGGGGGGGAAGTCTCATTTGAACAAAAACCTAATAACAGTCATTTTAGATCTGTTCATTGCTCTTCAGGTTGCTGAGCCAGTATCATGGAGACAGTGGCAATTGAGCAGGCATGCTTTTGTCAACTGAATTGATTTTGTGAAAGGACCTTGTTAGAGTCTATCTTCACACTGGGTTCTTCTGCCCTGAGCGGCTAAAAGTGCTAATGACCACCATGCATACACAGCGGCACCAGCCTGCTTTGATATGTGTGAGGACAAATTTCTTTCTGTGAGTGGCTATGAAATTTTCTCTAAAGCTTCTCTAGCCTATGTAAATTTTGAGTCCCCCCCCCTCCCAATTTCTCTTCATCCTTAAATTGAGCAATAATTGTCCTTAAAGCAGATGGAGTTACTTTTCATATTTAGGGCTTTTTAAAGGATTTAATCATGGTGGCAGTAAGTATAAAACTAGTGATGATTTGCTAGTAATTATTTTCTTGATTGAGGAAGTCTTGAGAGGCCCATCAAGATGGGACTTTTCTCTGCTTATTTGGAAAGCTGCTTTTGTCAATCCAGTGATACTTCTCACATGCTAACATCCTCGGAACTTGAAGTATGGCTTCCTAATTTCCCCAATGGGCCCCTCTGTCTTAGGCAGAATGAAAGAATTTAATCCTTCCCCCCACTTGCTCCTACTTTTGCTAATATAGATTCCCCTAATTTAGAGTATCTGTACCTGTGAAATGAATTTTGATTGTGCATTTTGCAGGTACTACTCAGTCCTCTATCCCCTGGAGAGAAAAATATCAGATGCCAAGTCCCGTGAACTGGTGATGTACATCTGGGCCCATGCAGTGGTGGCCAGCATCCCTGTGTTTGCTGTGACCAATGTGGCTGATATCTATGCCATGTCGACCTGCACCGAAGTCTGGAGCAACTCCCTGGGCCATCTGGTGTACGTCCTGGTCTATAACATCACGACGGTCATTGTGCCTGTGGCTGTAGTATTCCTCTTCTTGATACTGATCCGACGGGCCCTGAGTGCCAGCCAGAAGAAGAAGGTCATCATTGCAGCACTCCGGACCCCACAGAACACCATCTCCATCCCCTATGCCTCCCAGCGAGAGGCAGAACTGCATGCCACCCTGCTCTCCATGGTGATGGTCTTCATCTTATGTAGCGTGCCCTACGTCACTCTAGTCGTCTACCAGACTGTGCTCAATGTCCCTGACACTTCTGTCTTCTTGCTGCTCACTGCCATTTGGTTGCCCAAAGTCTCTTTGCTGGCAAATCCTGTGCTCTTTCTTACTGTCAACAAGTCTGTCCGCAAGTGCTTGGTAGGAACCTTAGTACAACTGCACCATCGGTACAGTCGCCGAAATGTGGTTAGTACAGGCACTGGGATGGCTGATGCTGGCCTGGAGCCCAGCATGCGCTCAGGCAGCCAGCTCCTAGAGATGTTCCACATTGGGCAGCAGCAGATCTTTAAGCCCACAGAGGATGAGGAAGAGAGTGAAGCCAAATATATGGGCTCAGTTGACCTCCAAGCCAAGGAGATACTAACCACCTGCCTGGAGGGAGAGCAGGGGCCACAGTTTGCATCCCCTGCATCCCCCCCTGGCACAGTGGACTCTATATCCCAGGTGGTGCCAGCAGGCCCAGTGGAACCAGAGACATTCCCTGACAAGTATGCCCTGCAGTTTGGCTTTGGGCCTTTTGAGTTGCCTCCTCAGTGGCTCTCGGAGACCCGAAACAGCAAGAAGCGGCTGCTTCCCCCCTTGGGTAACACCCCAGAAGAGCTGATCCAGACAAAGTTGCCCAAGGTAGGCAGGGTTGAGCGGAAGATGAGCAGGAACAATAAAGTGAGTATTTTTCCAAAGGTGGATTCCTAGCAGGGATTGTAGATTCCTAGAAGAAACAGAGCTCCCACACTCCTGTCCCCTTCACTCTGGCCCAGTGGTTTGTAGAATGGGTTAACTCCTCCTTATGGACCAGATGTTTCTGAAAGAGAGGGAAATCATATAAAACCAAATGTCCTCTTTTTTGAGGGAATATATGTAATTAGCTCAATGATCGATTTCCTTTGTGAAGTCCACATCCTCTCTCTGTGGAAGTGAAAGTTGGGCAGTGGGAGTGAGTCCTAGGATGGATATTCTATATGATCCCTCAGGTCCCTGGGCCCAGCAGAAACAACATGGAAAGAAAAGTGTCCATGAGCTCCAAGGAAGCAGGGGAGCTTGAGAGGATTATGAAGTGCTATTGACAAAAGGAAAATGCCCATTTTATGGACTTAATTATGAGTAATAGTCAATTTTTCATGTTTATCTCTATCTTCAGAGAAGATAGGGACCTGGCATTTGACCTGGCATCTTCTCTGGAAGCTCTGATCATATGATCACAGTTTCTCCTTATGTCATTCATCCCTTTCACTGGGTCATAGATATGAAATGACTTTTCTACCCCCAGTTGACAGATACGGCAACAGATATGCTTGGGGATTAGGGAGGTAGTTTGTCTTGAAATCCTGACATTTGTCTGGGATGACAGAGGCCTTGGAGACATACTCCTGCATCTCCTAGTAATAGTGGGTGTCAGTTGGAAACTACTGTAAACTCATCATTATATCTTTCTACCTTGAGTTGTGTTTGATCCACAAATGAGAGAAAGTTTAGAGGTGGAGAAGAAAGACAGACACGTCCAGGTACAATTGGACTTTCCCCACATAATCCCATGTGAAAGGTGCTAGGTAGTAATCAGTAGAAGTAAACAAAGTATACTGAAAAAAAAAAAAATCTTGTGCAAACTTTTGGAATTTCGAGGTAATTTAAAAACGTAGTTTGTGTGATCTCGGTCCACTGGAAACATCAAGCTAAACATTCTTGATTAGGAAAGGTGATTCTGCTCCAACGACTGGAAAAAGCCTTACAAAGATGGCTCCCTTCTCAGGAGAACTCCAGAATTCAGGTATGGTCAGTCTTGTTCCCTATCTATTATCATTTTGTTTTGGACACAAGGAGAAACAGAATGGGGAGAAAGACATAATCATAATAAAATGTCAAGGCCATACCTAGCCCAGATGAATTCACTGTTTTCTCCTTCCTAGTGAAGTTTTAGCAGAATCCAGAGAAGATAAGAGAGGGAGCACAGACTCCTCAATCGATTAGCGTCTGGGTGGTTCTCACAAGTAATTTGAGTCCAGTTGGGGGTGGATTGAACTGGGCTAAATTCAAACTACAGAGGACACTTTTAGAGGGCAGATCAAGTGCCAGTTCTGATCTCATGAAAGTGTTTATTCTTGTTAATAGTATATAGGGGAGCAAATCCAGTGCCTTGAGCAAGCCTGAAGGGAAGTGGGCATTCTCACAGGCACACTTCTGCATCCCAAAGGCAGTGGTCCTCACAGTCCCCTCTTTGAACACGTTGGCCCTTGTCCTTTGGGAAACTCAGACCATGTGCAGGGAGTTTCCTTTTTCCCCTAGGTGTGCTGTCTTGTGATTTCTGAATGTGAACCTAAAGGCCTTTTCCCAGCAGAGGGAGCGCCTTCCTCTTCGTGCTTTGTGTCCTGGCAGAATTGTGTGCTCCGGCAAAAACAGGGGACACCAGCCTTCATGGCCCCCTGCCTCTCGCGCCCTTTGCGCATGCCCTTGTGGCTCCTAATACGTAATATGTGACCTTTAAGCTTGTCTTTCAAAGCCTTCACAGTTGTCACAACTCTCATCAAGGGAAACGTAATCTGTCAGATAATCACATCCATTTTAGGAGAATTTGTCAAATGTAACCACTTTGGTATTGTTCTGTTAATACGTATGTACAACTTAATACATTCTGATAAGGCAGAATTTGGCAGGTATTCCCTATGTATGTTTGAAGGAGGTGGTTGACTTTTAACAGGTCATTGTCAGGAGTATTTCTATACTCTGAAGAACTACATTTTAATAAAAAAATGAAAAGCAGTTTCTGCACTAAAGGAAGTTGTATGAGTTTTTTGTCTCCTCCCAAACAGTATACCATCTGAAAAAAATGAATTCCCAAAGGAGAAACTGCAATGTTTGAATAAATGTCAAAATCATGGGTTCCAATTGCAGGCAAAGTCCCAGGGATTCATCAAAACAAAGATTTGTGCATTTGCAAAGGGACCTGCTTCTCAAGTCATGAATACCTCAGGATATAGTACTGAATTCAGGCATCGAGGGCCTGGTAGAGGGACTCAGAGCTGTTTACATCAGTGTCTTGAAAGAACGAGAAAACTTCAAGCACAAAAGTATAGGTATACAGGGATGATGAATCAAATAGGGTAAAGAATGATAATGTATAAAGAATGTTCATGTGAGCAATTTCACTGAGGAAAGATGTAATTTCCACACTTATGTCTGCGATACCATAGTATCATGCAACAGTGAAGGAAACCTTGAGTGTCTAGATTATTTCTATTATCTCACAATGAAAATTAAGCTATATAAAAAATTAATTTTTTCACACTGACTTTTTGGATGGAGACAGTTTGCATTCAGACTTTGAGAGGGAATTAGGCTTTTGTCCTCTCAACTCTGCAATTTTATGCTTTTGTAGCTTATCATTATTTGTGTATTTATTAAAGTACTTCTATGAATTATTGTTACTTTTTAAAAGTAAGTTTAATTTTAGTAATTCTGGTTTGCTTCAGAAATTAATTTAGAACTCATAATGTTTTAAATAAATATAGACACATAATATTGATTTTAATAAATGAATCCTAGAATTTATGTATTTAGAATTTATATTCACATCAACTTAAAAAAATCCAAAGTGACACAATATGCTTTTGTGTTAACTACTTCAAGTCAGGGGTTAGAGTCTCAGCATTACTAAGCCTTCACCAGCTACTGCCACTGCGGCTCGAGTTTGATCCCCAGACAGAGAGCTGACCCACATGGTGCAGGTCTCTCCTGTCTCACCTGCTGCTCCCCTCAGCAGTGTATTTCAGTAGATCTGCCTATTGTGCACCCCACTCTGTCTCTGTTGAATCCTCTCATTCCCTCTCCGTACCTCTAGTCTGGACACCAGTTCTTATATTTATAAATAAGCAAAATAAATCTTTAAAAAGACATTAGAGGATCTTAATTTCTTATAATACTTTCCCTTAAAATTTATCCCCTTGGTTACTATTTAGCTTCTGGTTGTCTGCTTTATGTTTATATATGATGTTTCACTGGAGGATATTAAAGCACAGCCCACAGATTTTCTGTAGGAAATGATATGATCTTTATTTTGCAGATGGAGAATCGAGAGGCACAGATGGCCACGTCATAATCCTAAGAAATAAAGCAAGCAGAGACAGCTAAAAACAGCACTGAAGGCATTAAGCCCTAATTCTTCCACTGTACCCTCCAATGTACTGATCATTATCATCTATTGTTATTATGACTATTTTTTGAATACCCACTTGGCACATATTATTAAACTGTACTGGGAACTGGATTGAATTCATAATGCCTGGCAGCTGTTTTTCTCAATATTAGTTCCCAGATTTCCTTCTGCCACACAATTTCCCATTTTTGTTGTAGAGGCATTACAGCATTTTTGTTGCAGTGTTAATGTGTTGAGATCACCAGGTTCAGAGTCCTCACTGGCATCATTTTTTGCCTCATGTCCTCTAGTTCTGCACCAAATTTACGCTTTGTTAAATTTAAGACCTTTGTTATCAAATCACTCTTACCCATTGTCCATGCTCCCACAGGACACTTCATATTCTTCCCTACAAGTACATGAAATATTAATAAGATTTATTCATTTTAAACAGTTCAACATTGCATTTAATTAGTTATAATGTGTTTTAGTATAAAGTGCTTTAGATATGGCTGCTGTCCTCTAGACAGCTTAGGAGATGGGAAAAAAATCCCACAAGAGATGAATGAGTCACTAAGTGCTGACAAGAATTACTGAAGCAAAGTGAAAATTATATGCCTCTTCCTCAATAATTTTGGTCAATGGATGACAGTGTTTTTATTAAAGTCTAGGAAATTTTTGCCTCCATAAAATGCCCATTTATTTCAGTGATAGGTGATATCACTTAGCACTTAGATCATCTGCGGTCGGGACATTAAGTGATTGTTCAAGACCTTGAAGTAGCACTTGTGACTAAAAAATATGCCTAATCCACAAGGAAGTCATAGAGAATGGAAGACAGTGATTTTTTTTTTTTTTTGCTTTCAAAATTTATTTTTGTGGACAAATTAAAACATCATTGGGGACAAGCAAATGAAACAAAGATGCAGAGCCAAAAACAATGTTTTTAAATGATTTTTTTTCACACTGATATTTAAATAACTCCATCAAAAATAGGTTGAGATGATGAATTATTTCCCTAACTAGGGTCTTTCAGTTTATTCCTGTTACTTATTAGAAATAGGTAGTTATCCACTATGTAGCTAACACTCAGAAACCCCTCTTCGTCTTAACACTATCTAAGATGAGTGGAGGGACCCTCCCTGCGGTGCATTGATTTAAAGCACAACACTATGTAGTGATCCAAAGCTACTGCACCACGAGTTCTATCCCTGGCCAGGCAGGTGACCCACATGGCTAGGAAGACCTCTCCTGTCCCGCCCTGCTGCTCCCCTCGGTAGTGTATTTCCGTCAATCTACTTTTTCTGTTCCCCACTCTGTCTCTGGTAAATCCTCTCTCACATACCCCCCTACCTCTGACCTGTACCCCGGTTCTTGTATGCACAAATCATCTTAAAAAAATATGAGTAAAGGAGCAGAGTTAAAGGAAATCCAGGTGACCACCCTACCCCTTTCAGGATTTCTGAGCAACTAGGCATAATTAGAAAATGCTGAATAGTTTACTTGTATAGAAATAGCTTTCCAGAGAATTTGACTAAGAGGAAGTAAGTAACGAACAATGAACAAATTAATACATCCAGGCAAGTGTGCTGCCTAATAGAGCCTCAGCTATGAGCTTGCCTGGTTCTCAATGGTGGTGGATGAGAAAACAGGTCATAAAGCCCATATGTGGGGACCAGGAACAAGTATTGACTAGCAGGGGTTACATAAGTAGGGAAAGCACCAGCTCCTCTGGGCTTCAGCAGCAGTAGTAGGCCCTTACCCAGTGAGGGTCCTGTGCCTCCACACCCTCTGCCGCCTCTCCCACCCCCAAGAAACTTCTATATGATGTATAGACAAAATTGGCACAGGACCAAATTTAGGCCTCATTTAGTTAGCATGGGAACAATATATCAAGATTACATATGTATTGCTCTGGATACATAGGGATTACATCTCAAGGTTACATGGTATCTATTAGGCCACCTGTCTTGGAAGGTAGGTCACTGGCAAAAAAAGTCTAGAAATTGGCCCTCCCTGGTGGCGCAGCGGGTTAAAGCACAGCACTAAGAAGCTTAAGCCAGTTCCGCATGAGTTCGATTCCAGCCTGCCCCGGAGGTGACCACATGGCGTGGCAGACCTCTCCTGACCCGCCCGCTGCTCCCCTCAGCAGTGTACTTCGTCGA